GAAAGAGTGGATTAGGTTGTCTGGTGTATAGAGCAGAATTAGGAAGAGAGGATGCACAGTGAACTTGATGGTTATTGGCTTAGTGTGTAAACTCTGGCAGATTGCTCCTTCCTAGTAACTCCTTTTCACATCTATAAAATGAGGATTACAAGCCCTATGCTACAGAGGTTTAGGGATTCATTAGTACTTGGAGGTTCTTGGAGAGTAAATACGGAGCACAGGTTATATTAGTCATCAGTAAGTCATGGTTCTTTGGTGCATTCAACATGGTTCTTTCAGCAGTTAAAGGAAGACTGGGTATCAAGATAATTGGCTACTAGTTATAGTTCTGCCACTGTTTTGCTTTGTGATCTGTGGCAGATCTCTTTTCTGTGAGCTTCCATTTCTCTGTCTGTAGGATGACTTGACAATCTTTACAAAGTGCTTCGAAGTCTTTGGCTGGGAAGTTCTGTACTAGGAAAAAGTATTCATTTGTTTAATCCACTGTGTGGTGGGGCCTTGCATTTAAAATCCCTTTCCATTCTTTCTCCCCTCCCCCATCCCCTCTTTTTGCTAACCACTATCTCTGAGGTAACTATCTTGTCTGACTCTTTCCATTTGAATGAATTCCAGTTTTGGCTTCACGGACAAGGCAGCGAAGAAGAACCACCCATCCATAGGGGTGTATGGCAATGGCTTCAAGTCAGGCTCTATGCGGCTGGGAAAAGATGCCATTGTCTTTACTAAGAATGGAGGTGCGCTCAGCGTGGGGCTCCTTTCACAGACCTACCTGGAATGTGTCCACGCTCAGGCTGTTATTGTCCCATTGGTACCATTCAGCCAGCAAAACAATATCCTTCCCTGAAAAGTGAGAGGGGCCATGCTTCCTGAACTGCTTATTAAGGGGAGGGGGCGGGGCGGGGGAGGGCAGCATGTGTGAAGAACAGCATTGAGGGAGCCCAAAACTCAGCATTTTCCGTAAAGTCTTTCTGCAGCACAGTGCTGGTAATGCAGACTGACTGGAGATGCACCTCAGTAGCTTTGCACAGTTTTGCCTGTATGTGCTGCTGTCTGTGAGTAGCAGCTGCAGAGGGTGTAATCTTTTCAAAGGACCACATAGTGACAGTGTTCAGCTCAGCACTTGAAGAGCCACTCCAGCTGCAGCTGGAGCTTAGAGTTGCATCCATCAAATGTCGATCCTTTTTTATATCAGAGCTTGTCAGGAATCCTGTGGGGTTTCCTGCTAATCTGTGTGGAATCCATTCAGTAACGCTAGCACCCCTTTGCAGAATGCCCCCTTCTAGCATCCCAGTAGTGGTCTGCTCTGTGCTTGCCTCAGTTATACTTCTGCAGCAGTAACACTCTTCTTTAGTGCATAACTCTGATGCTTACACACTTCCATTGCATATTCTGCTGCCTCTATGCCAGTGGGAACCCAGAATACACAGATACCCCTTAGCACATTTTCTATACAGCCATCTATGCATAACATTACTCGTATGATATCAGTTCCTTACATCTCCATGCACAGAAAGGTTGATGTCTGTTGGCATTTTCCACAAAGTCCCTACAGGGTTACTATTTCATGGCTCAGGTTCGCTTTGCAAATGTGCTCTTGAACTGTGCTCAGTCATGTTTCTGTTGGTGCTATAGCCTTTCATGGTCCTTGCCTCTAATATTGGACAAGAACATCACTAATGTATAAGGAGGGAAGGGGGGAGATCTAGACCAGTCCTGTTCTTTCTTTGATTTTGTGGCTTCTAAAGAAAATGATTGTAACAGAAGACTCTGTGCCAAGCCTTGAGGCCATCTTGAAATATACTCTCTTCAACACGGAGGAGGAGCTGCTGTCACAGTTTGATGCCATTCCAGGCAAGAAGGGCACACGTATCCTCATCTGGAACATCCGCAGGTACTGGGAGCCCAGGCACGTGAGGAATTAGGCATTGGGAGGTGGAAAGCTGAATACTGAAAAAATGAGGGGAGAAGTACTAGTTCAGTGGCATAATGTTTGAGTACAAGGCTGGTCTGAATTACAGCAGGGGCAGTTCAATCCATCCTCCTCCTCTGGTAGAAACACCAAATTTTATATAGCTTGCTATGTTTAACCCTTAAATGTAAATATGATATTATCTTACTCTGTGGGGATGCTTCTTGTTTGTAGCAGTCTTGTTTGTACCATTTTACTATGGTAGAGACCTGTTTTGCTATGGTCCTATTGTTGCTGTTTACTTCTGTTAACCCTGCAGATCCATCTCAGCTGGGAGAGATTGCTCACAAGTGTATTCTTCTGTGTGAAGCAATAGAATTGTCCTAAGTGCCCATGTTAGTAGCTGTGCTAGATGCAGCAGGTTTCACAGCTGTTGCCAAGACCTGGCTAGGACATGCACCCTGTGTTGGACATGGTGGTGTGTAGGAAGCAAAGAACGCAGCTTAAGTGTAGAATTTGCAGGGGTGACAGTTGGAAAATTTTTCATTTTGTGCTTAAATTGAGCACTTCGTGTAAATCTAACCTAAGGGTGCAGTTTTGAAAGTAGAGACCTAGGCCCTCTGCTTCTCAGCTTTCCAATGCCAAATATTAGCCAATTGCTTCCTTTTCCTCAAGAGGGCAGGAACTTCTGTAGAACAATGCTTAAGACTTACATGGACAATGCTTCCTAAGGGCAGAAGCTTCCTACATTGTCCATCTAGATATTGCCTTGTACTCATTAGGATGCATTGGATTTCTTCTCCCTGTGTATAATTTTGTTTGGGCAACAGAGCTAGGAATCAGAAGGTTGGGGTTTGCTTTTGTCTGCCACAGACATGCTTTTTTTGTAGTCAAGTCAGTCAAGGAAGTATTTCTTCCCTTCCTCATAGAACAATTTTGAGGTCTAATTCATGTTTATGAGGTGCTTGACTTTGATGCTGTGTGACTTAAGCCTATAAAAATGACTGCCCCAAGGGGAACAGGAAAGGAACGGGAACACTTTGAACTACTTTTAAGGTATGTGATGCATGACTCTGGAAATGGAAGAGTAGCACTTGCAGGAACAGTTTTTGCACTTTTCCTATGTCAGGACTGAATTGAACTTTTATTCTGTTAGGTTTGAGGTTATTGCTTAATTATTCTAAATTTGTTTTGGTCCTAATACACCATGGCTGAGCAGGATGTTCTCCTAGCTCTTGTTTGTGGCATTTTTCAGAAATAAAGATGGAAAGCCAGAGCTAGACTTTGATACAGACAGGTTTGACATTCGGATATCAGACTTCAACACAGAGGAAGCAGAGAATCCTGGGAGGAAGCTACTACCTCCACACCTCGAGAAGATTCAGGAGTCCTCTGCACCAGAAACGGAGTACTCCTTACGGGTGAGTCAGGGTGGCTGGAGTTAGCTCTGTAGAAGTGGTTGAGTGCTGAGACAAGAGTTGCACCATGTCTATCCCAGGCAAGCACTGTGAGCTGAACTACTCATGTTGGTATCAGACAACAGGAGCCATTCTCAGTTTAGGTATTCACATGGCATATAAAGTGTGTAGGACTGATGCCAAGTGTCTGTCTGTTTGGACAGGACTCAATTGCTTGGCTGTATGGGTTGGGACTGGTTGGGGAGTCGCCTGTTTGGTGAAATCTGTGTTCATTATGCTTGTCTTGCACTGTCCCCTGTTCTCAGGCATACTGCAGCATCTTGTACCTGAAGCCCCGCATGCAGATTGTTCTGCGACAGAAGAAGGTGAAGACTCAGCTGATGGCCAAGAGCTTGGCCCATATTGAATATAATGTATACAAACCCACCTTCGTAGTATCCTTACAGTTGCCTCATGGTGCTCCTGCTCTTCACTGCATCAAGGCAACTATTGGAACCAGTTATTTCCAATGAATATTAATCCCATGTCTATATTTAGGGCTGGTTTAGCTGGATAAGGACAATAGTGTAGAGTCTAGTGTTAAATGAACACTCAGGCTGATTCTTGTTCTCCTTCCACCTTTCCGTTACCTCCGGAGAGGCTAGACTCCAGTTTGAACAGTTCATGAAGGAGTCCTCACAACTGCTTACGATGGAAGAAGTGAAAGCAGTGTAGAAATGCTTGCACGCCTCAAGCATGGGTGAAGTCCAGCTGCCAGAAAGGAACTGATATGCCTCCATACTGCAGACAGCTGAATTTAAAACCCAAGCCAAAATCATGAGACTCCACACTTTTGTGTTGGTAACAAGGTCTTGACTGACATGCCTAGCTGATTTGGGCAAAATGCGTCAGAAATGTATTTTAAAATTATGAACTCCCTTAAAAGAGAATAGGGAAGAGCCTTATGAATAAACCAATACATTTGACTAGACCTTGGTTATGAAGAAAGGGGAGATCTTATGCAGCTCAAAGGTATTTATTTACTTGCTGACTTTATTTTTCCTGAAAAAATGGAAGTTGGCCTTGTGAGGTTTTTAAGTATTTTTGCATACAGCTAAATGAGAACAACATTTTTCTTCACTTGTTTCTTTTGATAATCTGCCAACAGAGTAAAACTGGTGTCCCATGTCAAAGCAAAAAAAAAAAAAAAAAAGGAAGCTGCACTTGGTTGTTTAAAATCTCCACAAAACGGAGTAAGTCTTAAACTGAATATCGAAAAACCAAGTGTGCAGCTCTCCCCACCCCTTAAATGTACATAAACAGTGGTTCTTGTCTGAAAAGTAACTCTCGTCTTCCAGGATTTAGGTTTGACTCAAATTCTGTATCAAATGTGGAAAAATTTGAAGAAATAGATTTTTTTTTCTAGCCCTGCATACAGAGTCAGGAATTGGAAAGCCAGTGAGTTGTTTTTTGCTTTTGTGCCATCCCTCTCAGTGTAAACTTTTGCAGGCTAGCTGTTGCCTTAGGAAGTTCCTTAGGAAGCATGTTTTTGGTAGGTGTGCATAGCTGGACAGATTGTAGTTTAGTAAGCTATGGTGACACTGTTCAAAAAGAAATTGACTCTGACTTGTTGTCTGAGAGGCTTTTGTTCTGTAGAATTAGCATGAGTAAAAAGTAAAATTCCTCTGACCTAGAGGAATACATTATCCTAAATAAAGTTAAGATGGCATTCTGTGGAGAATATGCCATATGGATGTCTATGGTATAAATAGCCCTCTAAAAGGAATAGCCTCCACCTTGATGAAATAGAGCTATTGTTCATGTGTTCTTTCTTTTGTAAGCCTAGTAGCAGAAGTTCTTGTCCAGAACTGAACCCATATTAATTTAGAACTTGAAGAAAGTGGAATTTTATTGAGTGCCTTGGATTCTTCACTTCAGCATTCATTGAGGTTTATGAAATCAAATCAGCCAAACATCATCACCTTATTAGTGATTTGTGACTTACCTGGATGGTAACTGTTTGAGCCACCTATTTTAGACAGAGTTTGAATCTCTTACAACTGTAATATATATGACAATAACTGTGATCTATAACTGTGATTTATAACTATAATCTCTTAAAATCAATTCTACACCACTTTGAGAGAACTGGGCATGTTTTAACCTGGTTATCCAATTTGCTTATATCAGTCTGTTAAATCAGACAAACTGCAGTTGTGGTTATCCAACACTTCTGGCTGTGTATACAGGGCCTCTCTCTCCCTAGGGAACCAAGGTTTAGCTTAGTCTTGCTAAAGAGGAAAATGTGTTGCTTTAGGAATGCAGCATCTACTCCACATACCATTCATTGTGAAATTATGAAATGAAAAACTTGGATGGCTTACCTTTTGGTCATCCTTTACTCCGCTCTTATCCCTTCTGCCAACATCCTTCCTACAAAGCACCTAATTCTTTTCCCCTCTTCTCCCCTATCAAGCTTGCTGTCTGTTTCTCCTTTGACAAGGTTTTTCTCAGAATAAAAGAGTGAAGATTACCTTTGGGTTCAACTGCAAAAATAAAAGCCACTGTGGGATCATGATGTACCACAACAACCGACTTATCAAGTCCTACGAGAAGGTTGGCTGCCAGATGAAGGTGAGTGGTCAATGCTTTCCCTCTGTGCCTCAGAAACGAGGAAGGGTGATGAACATATGGCTTCATGCGAAGTGACCCTTGAATAGAACCTTTCTTCTGGGTTCCATGGGGTTCCAGAGTTTCTCTAGCCTTTGTGTAGGAGGAATTGAACCTGGAAACCTAGTATCTGAGGCCCTCTCATCACAAGCAGTTTTTAGTATGCATAGCTTCATTTTGATGCTGGCCTAGATTTGATAGCTGTTTGCATCTTCAGAGACCACTTATTATTGTTGTAGAGCCAAATGGTAGCAGGAGACTGTCTAATGCATGTGCTTGCTGTGCACATGGTACAGAAATCAGTGTACAGTATAGGATTATGTTGCCTTGGTTCCTTTGTTGCAAAGGAGTTAAGAACCATTCTTCCAGAGATGCTAGTTTTTTTTACCATGATAAACAGAATGTCTGAAACAATTGTTTCCTTCTCTTTTTTTTGGCCATTGGTGTAGGGAGATGGTGTGGGAGTAATCGGGGTGATTGAGTGCAACTTTCTTAAACCAGCACACAACAAACAGGACTTTGAAGAAAACAAGGAATACCGGTAAGGGGGCTCTGCAGCTGTTGCATGAGTAGGCTTTAGGTACAAAGTAGCTCTTGGTTGGCTCATCTTCCTTCTCTGATGCCCTTACCATAAAATGCCTGAAATCTGGAAAGACCATGGTCTCCTGAGGTGAGAAGGAGCACAATCTCCATGTTCACCCAGCTCTGTCTTCAGTGCATGTCTTCACCCATGAAAGACTCATATGACCTAGAACATAGTCTGTTCTATGTCCGTTTGCTGAACACAGAAAAGCAGTGTTTCCCAAACTATGAGAACCTGAATTTCATCACAGGAAAATAAAGCCCAGCTACGTCCCCATTGAGTCTTCTGTTCACAGATTCACAGAAGTTTAGGGCTGGAAGAGACCTAGTGAAATCATTGGGTCCAGCCCCCCTGCTCTGGGCAGGAGCAGCAAGCAGGAGCTTGTACTGCCACTCTTTTATGCCCACCCTCTCTCAGTTACGTGTGTAGTTGGGCACCCCCATCCTGTAGGTATATGCTACCTTGCAGGAACAAACGTTTTAGAAAAGGATCTAAGCATAGAATCTAGAAGAGAGCAGGGAGTGAGGATGAGCACAGCAGGACCATACAATTTTTGCTATGCTGCTAGATACTGCTCTTAAATTAGTGCAAATATCTACCAGCAGTAATGTTGTATTCACAGAGGCCCCTTATCTCAGCAGGGGTGAGGTATTTGTGGACATTTTTTTTGGTTTAACAGTTTTTAGCTTCCCCTCCCCCTGCCAAACTGTTTGCTAATCCATCAGTCAGACATATCTTTGATGTACCATTGGTACACATCTTCCTGAGGCACCTTGGGTCTGGGCTGCAGCCAGATTGAGTTGTTCAACCAACACTCAGTGTTATTAGTGGAAAGGGTGGATTGTGGGTAGAAGGGAGTCTCCCCTAAAGACTAAGAAAATTAGAGAAGACTCTGTCCTCAAATGTTGCTCACAATGTCATGGCAGAACAACAGAAACAGACCTTAGTAACTTGGGACAGCTTCAGTGATCTGAACGTTGCCCAGATTTGTTTTCTCTCTGGACTGCTCTGCTGGGACAGCTCTCTGATTTTCTCTGATCTTTTGGTTGGTATGATCTAACATTTAATACTTTGACATGCAAGATGAATAGAATTTTTACAGAAGCATCTAGAGCCCTTTTTCAGTGTTCAGAAAGGGATCTTTCCTTCATGGGAGAAGGAAAAAGCTACCCGTGGCTGCTCCATTCTCTCCCCCTTGGAACAGATACCAAAATTCTTCATGCTTGAGTTTGTACCAGATTTGCTACAAGTTCATTGCTGTCCTGAGTCTCAGAGAGTACTTCTAATTGTATATGTTAATCAGTAGCTGGATGGGACATTTCATTAGACCATAAGGGTAAATAACTTTGGCTAAGGGACCCTCTTTGGAGGGTGGGGAAGGAGGAGGAGAAATTTGCCCATATTTTAGATAGGGTTAGCTGTATTAGCTAAACCAGCGGGGGACAGTCTTTTTCATAGGTGTGCCACAAATTAAGCTCTGTACCTTCTTAGAATGCCAATTCTGATCTTCCCATGTTAGATCTGCTGCTTTCCTTTGTTCTGCTGGCCCCTTTCCTCAATCTGCTGTGTGCCACGCATAGAGGGTGGCTGTGCCACTTGGCATCTATGCCGTAGGTTGGCCACCCCTGAGCTATACCTTTAGTTTTAAAATGGTGCTACAAAGCCACTGGGTAAAGGCTATCAAGTATGAGTTGCCATTCTTGGCCCCATTGTGTAAATTCATACTACTGATAAACTTTTGGGGTCAGAAATTAGTGACTCCCTATGTATGTCCTGACTCCTTGATCCAAGAGGAAGCTCTGATCACCTGGTTCTGAAGGCAAGTGTATCTCTTAGCCTACAGGGTGTTTTGTTCCTGTGAAAGGTTCAAAGACAGTTTGAAGCAGCAAACTGCTGACCCCAGGGACCTTGAGTTAGGAGTCTTGTGTACTGGAAACAGTTAGATATGATTCTGAAGTGTGGGATGAATGAGATATACTGGGTTAAATCCTGGCACAATATAAGCTGTGTTCTAAAATCCAGGTAATCCCAACAGTAGCAAGCTTATCACGTTTTTGGGTCCCTATCACCATAGGATGTGTGGGTGTCTCTGGCAAGGGTGGCAAAAGGCAAAGGCTGGTAGTAAGGGAGGTCTGTTGCTCTACCCTTCTTAGCTGTTATCTGGTGAGAAAGACAGCAGGATCTGCCTGGGTTTTCACTCTTCTCTTTTTCCCACTAGACGGACAGTCACTGCCCTGGGACAGAAACTCAATCTTTACTGGAAAGCGAAGATGGCCCAGATGAACTTGGGAACTTCAAATGCATCCAGCATGATAGCGTGAGGACAAGTTTTACAGTAATCTAATCTCATAGTGCAGCATTAAAAGCAGTGGGTCTTTCATCTGCAGAGACAGGGGAGAGGGTTTAGTGGGTTGATCTCCACTTTTAATTGGGCGATCTCATGACAGACTAGTAAATGCCATCCATGTAGTAAGTTTGGTAGTTTCAACCCAGTCCATTGCTTATGTGTGGGGATGGACAGAGTGGGTAATGAAAGGGATGTTCCTGATGAGTGCTCAGGGGAATTGGCAGGTAACTGGAGGGTAATGTGGTCTTCCCACCTAGAATATAAGGTGTCTCAGCAGAACTTTCTGTTGCTGTTCAGGTGCTAATAGAGTCCAGCCTTTCCCAATGCACTAGGGATGAAATGCAACAGGCCCTCAATGCTTTTCTCTGCATGTAGGCCATTTCAGCCATGTGTCACTTTTTGCAGAGAGAGACCAGATCAGACATGGGTGCAGTGTGAGGAGTGCTTGAAATGGAGGAAGCTGCCTGACAAAATAGATCTGTCGTCGTTACCGGAGAAGTGGTTTTGTTACCTCCATCCCCACCCCAAGTACAAGTAAGGAACTTGCTTGTTCCAGTCCTTGGGAAACCTTTCTCCCTATCACTCCATACCCTTCAAATACACATACATGTCATGCCCACTTTTGCTGGCTTTCATTCTCCCTTTTGTGTGGATGTGCCTGTACCTTAAAATGTAGAAGCCCCTCTGGTCAGGTTCATATCTGGACTTCTACACTTTTCCATTGGAAAATAAAAGTACAGTTCTAAAACAAAAAACTCACCTGAAACACAGGTACTTAACTGTGCTAGTTCTTATCTAAGTGCTTTTCTTCTCTCTGCTGCATCCGTTGCATCTCTGGTTATACTTTGAAGCATTGCTTAAGTGCTCACATTGTTTAGTTGTTGCTTGTACCTTCCTTCTCTCCCCGCCCATTTATCTCTCCCCACCATTTGGGCTAGAAAAAGTGGCCTTTTAAATTAAGCAAGCAACCAGGAGTGATTGGAACTCCTTCAAATGTTCTGAGGGAAATGAATAATGAAGGTGCTAATAAAAACCATGCTGTCTATTGTTCAACAGTGCTTGAGAGGAGGAGAATTAGAATTCTATCTTACTTTAGCCTTCTTTTATGATGATTATGTGAATTGTACACCATAGAACTTTGCTTTCTAACTAGGTAAACTGGCTAAAACAACTATTAGAGAGGTGACTTTATCACCTCTCGAAGCATAATGTTATTGGGCTAGCCACTGGGATTTTACCGAAGGACACTCCGCTGCAATCTAAAAGAATTCTTGAGCAGAATCAGTTTTAACAAGTAATTCCATCTTACCTACTAACATTTGGATTTCCAGAAAGCATCTGATAAATTCTTCATGGGAGGATATTAAGGAAACTAATTATGAGGTGAGAGGGTAAGAAGGATTGGGGGACTGTTCAATATACTACAAATTTTGCCATCTGGAAAAAAGTTGCTGGTAATATTTATTTCTCCAGTAGACACATTGATTGTGAGCATCTTTAAAGGGGCCTACTTCACCTGCTTTGGTACATGATTGCTTAGTTGAAAGTCATTGTAGATAACAGCAGAGTAAAGCACATTAAAAGAAACGATTAAGATTACTTTTACGTACAGATGGTTTCTAAATTAACGGTAACTACTCAGAGAGAAAGACTTAATATAATTTTGGACAGTTCAAGGAAAACATCTGCTCACTGTGCAGTTGTGGTTTTCAGAAAACGAAAAACCAAAGCCACCAAGATGTTGTTTGTAAGATGCTTTTCAAAAAGTGTGTATGGGGGGAGGGGAGTGGGATAAAAAAAATTACCCTGGATTATTATGAAACCTTTCCAATGGAATATTTTGCTTGGCACACCTCTTAAAAAGGGTTATGGAAAGTTAAATAAATGTATTGCATACCTGACACACTTCTTTTGGAAATGAGATTAAATGGAATAGGACCATGTAGTTTAGAGAAGAGCTGTGGCTTAAGATATGTAGTATAGTTTATAGTACCAAGGTCGTCTTTTGAGCACGACTATTTAAGATATAGGAACCACGGAATGCTCCATCAAATGTAAGAATGATAAAGCAACTATATGTTATATGTTATGTGATCAATTTAGGGAAGCCTGGGAGATTCTAAAAATGTTGGGAATTTGTAGAGAACAACTGTTGTAGCATCCTCAGGCACAATGGACTGATCTCATTGCAGAAGCTGCTCAGCACCTGAGGAACAGGAGCTCAGCGATGAGGAGATGAATTCCAGCTATGACAGAAAGTTCAGGAAACAGTTAAGTATATACATGTTTCCTCCTGCATGTCAGCCAGGAGCAGCAAGGAGGCAGCAAACAAGTTCTCTCATCACATTTTCTGTTTTTACACATCCTACTGGTAGGCAGTGATGAGACTAAGGAAGCAGCAATACCTCTCTGACTAACAGTGGTGCAGGTGACCTGTGCCAGTGTTTCAAGGTGGGTGGTGGGTTTCCATCAACCATGTCCAATTTTGTTTCCCTCCCCCACTCTTAAATTCTGCCCCTCTGAGACTCCTGTAATTAGCCCAAACTATTTGCTTGTTCAACTCATGTAAGTGGTATGACTGCTGTGGCAGTAAGCTCGCTTCACACTGAGAGGAATCTCTGCACTTCCTACCAGTTTCTACTGGCTAGTTCCTGTTGAGTATTATAGTGAGGGAAAATTCAATGTTTTCTTCCTTTTCATTATTCAGAGATCAGCCCTCAGACAGGAAGCAGAGAAAATCATCATCTTTAGAAAACCTGGAGCACCAGGTGAGAAGGAAGAGGGAGTGCAGAAGGCTTTGTGTTTTGGAGATGGTTCAGAGAGCAGGGGACTCCTGTGCTGCTGGGGATGGCAGCATCTCTTCCCACTCCCTTTATTGTTTTCATTTCTGCCATCTGCTGTGGGAGGAGATGGCACAAGGATCAAAAAGCATTGGATGAAACAAGAAGAAAATTTATCTATGCATAGCTTGGAGATATGAATACCAGAGAAACACTGACATCAGATGTTAACAATGTGACAGGGCTCAGGACATCTGCAACCCCCATGCACCACTCTTTTCCTCAAATTCTGCCTTGTTAAAGGGGCTTGATTTTTAACCCCTTCAATAGAAGAGGGCCTGGTATCCTGGGGTTGCAGGGCTGGTTTTGTTTGGCCCTCTACCCCACTTCCAGGCTTACTGGTTATGTAAAGACTCTGATGTTTTGAATTTTCAGGAGCACTGTCTTTCGGACATGGCTGCCCAGGATGGGTTCTCCAGGCAGCTCTGGATGTTGCAGCGTATGATCAGGTTGGCCGTCCTTTAGGGACAGTTCCCTCCCAACAATCACCATGGTATTAAAACATCTTCCTGCCGCCCTCCATTCCCAGCTTAGTCTTTTTGCATGCTCTTTTTCTAAAGGTACCTTCATGTTGCATGCTAGACTAGCCTTTCCTGATCCATTGGGAGGGACAAACCTGGCGAGGACAGGGGAACTTCTCACCCCCACCTTCTCTTCTTTCCTTGGGAGGTGACTCCCAATAAACATGCATATCCCAAAGTACGTAAGTAGATGAGGCTTGATCACTGTACGAGGCATTCAATCTGTTTTGAGCCTAGGAAGTCTTCGGGTGGTTACTCTGTCCTCACTCATGTTTGTCATCTCTTCTTGCAGTAGTGGCATCAGTTCCTCTGCTGTCTCCTTATTCATTTGTGTTTCTTTCATGACATGGTCATCCCACCATATTGCCAGATGCATGTCTGTAGAAAGAAAGTCAGTTTGTCTCTTGCATGTGTCCCTGTGTAACAAGCATGGAAGTTCTCTTAAAGTGCTAGGAAGCACCTCACATCCTGCCTTGGAGAAGCTAAAGCACCATCCCCCAAACTGAGAAAGAACCAAACTCTGTCAGTCCTAAACACTAACCAGTCCCACCTGTTAAATTGACAGTGGGGGAGGAAGGAGAGAGGAATTCTCCTTTAGGCCACTGACTGTGAAGCCGTTTGGTTCAGTCCTTGGCTGATAATGGCAAAAAAGACCAGATTCGATATCCAGCTAGCAGAGCCCTCTGAAATGGTCACCACTAGGGGGAGATTCAGGGTCACGCACTTGTGTGTGTGTGTGTGTGTGTGAATGGGGAAGGATCTCTAATTGCTAGAGGCAATGGGGATTTTTTTTCAGTTGGCTGAACCTCAAGCATGGGAACCACTGAGGGGACTTGGTGTAATCCCTGACTGGTGAGACCTGCTGAAAAGGGGGCTCAAGTTGAACCATCAAGTAGCCTCCTCTGTTGCTTTCAGTTCGGTTAAATATCTGTGTCCAAAACTGCAGCTGTCTTGTGAGAAGGGGCCTTGGTCTTAGGATGTTCCCTTCCTTCCAGGTGTCATCCCCTGCTTCAGAGCCCTCTCCTGCTGAGAATGACCGTATCATAAGTTCTGTGAAACAGGAGCCTGAGGAAGAGGCCTCTGATGGGATTGCTGGCTCTAACACTCCTCCACCTGCTCTGGAAAAGTTCAATGCTGCCCATTGGACCATTGGGCCACTAAAGCGAAACATGTTGCAAACTGGAGGGTAGGTGGTAGGGTGCAAATTGCTGCACTCTCGTCAGTTATGCATCCTCTCTGACCCTGGGGCTGAGCCTGCTTGCTCCTGGAGAGGAAGAGCATGGGATGGAGTGGGAAAGGGTGAGCTGAGAATCTGATCAAAACGGGTGTCTGCTGGAGCCAGCAGATTTGCCTCTGTTCCTCTGCATGTCTTTTTAACTAGATGTTCTGTACAGTTCAGCTTCTCTACTGCTTTGCTGGCATTGGAATGGGAACATGCAGGGCTCTGATAAATGAACCGTACAGTTCTGTTTTAATTGTGGCTCCAACCAGGGTTACTATATTTCCTGCCGAACTGTCAGTGCTGTTCTTAGAGCAGCACTTGCTGGTTCCCAGGTGAGACATTGGTGGAAGGGATGTATGGCAGAAGGAGTTTGCTTATTTCCCTACTGGGTACCTCTACTAGGCACATCTCTGCCTCTCTAGCTTCTCCCCAGTAGTACCCAGTACTACTGGGTAGTAGTACTGGGTACTACTACCCAGTACTACTACCCAGTTAAGTAAACTTAACTTTAGCAGTTAAGTTTAGCACCCTTAACTGCTAAAAGGCCAAAAGTTGGAATGTTGCTGTCAAAGAGGAACATGTTGCAAGGTATGTGGCTGGCTGTGTTTTATATGTTCACTTTTTAGTTTATAAGCAGACAAGGTTCTTTAGGTAACTGTGATATCTTTTATTAGACGAACTAAATTTTGGCGCATGAATTGATCGTTGACCTTTTTAACTTCAGACAAGGAGAGAAGAGCAGTGAGAATAGTGGAAGGGCCACCTTTATGTACAGTCAGTCTTGAGCTGAATTCCTGTTGGATATCCTTTGTGCTATGCTAGTTGATTCTCTTCCATTTCTATGGGTTAGGGGAATGCACTTCCTATCATCAGATTGAGATAGGAGATTCAGCAAAACCTGTGAAGTCACCTCTTGTAAGAAGCCAGGTTCTAGCTGAAGAATCCAGTCCATTTCTGGTAACTGACAGGTGAATAGTTTTTTCTGGCCAAGAGAAGCTTCTTGGGGAAATCTGAATTGCACTTTGGGTTTTTAGGTGTGTGTTTTCCCCTCCTGTATCTTGTCCTGGTGTTGCCTGCATCATACTGGTAGTCAGTGAACTAAAGTTTACGTTCATTTGAGTGATGTAGTACACCATTCTATCCACTTGGTGGTGCAGTTTGTCCATTTTTCTATAAGACTGCTTGGGGAGATGAGCATTTTGTGGTGGTGGCTTGTTTGCTCTTATAGTTAAATGGTAGCGCAAGTGCAGTGGTGAGAGTAGACCTTCTCAAGCTGATCAGTGAAGTACTGGTAATTAACATGCAGCTAGCTTATTGCCAACTTCTAATTCAACCCTGAAGGAACTTGGGAATATGGGATGCCTCTTTTCCATCTGAAATAATTGCTGTACTTGCTGCTGCTGCAGATGGGAGAGAGGTGTGCAAGAGAATCTCTGTATTAAAACACATTTTATGCTATGAAAAGCTTGAGAACTTCTAGAGTAGATGGTGAAACCTGCTGGTGGACTAGATGGTGACAGTAACCTCATTTCCTAAAGTCTTTGCTAGGCAGCATGTGGGGATGGGAATAGAGGGAATACTTAGTTTGCCAAGCAAACAAGTTGTCTTTAAGCCTCCCTCAGAGGCATTGGTGCTGGCTACAGCTAAGGCTGGGAACTTTGACTGGGGTGTGCTAATGCTTCTGCTGGGA